CCCCCCCCCCCCCTTTCTCCAAGTAAGCGCGGCACTCACGTACAGACACATGAAATTTCTGGTTGTAAAATTACAGGAAAGCTAAAACGCTAAGATTTTAGGAGAATGTTTCCTGCCCAAGTACAACTTAAATATTTCACACTCAGCCTCTAGGTATGCACAGTTCTCATACACGAGTACTTTAAAGCTTTGAAGGAAAAACTGCTCACTGAACAGCTAGGTCATTTCCAAAGAACGACCGTTAAGCGGAAATTGTTCATTTCCTTTATGCAGAATTTACGATAATTAACTCTAGGGAGCGCAAAAGGTAGGTTTAAAGCAACAACTAGCCTCGCAGTTAACGATCTGAGTCTGGCGCAAAAACGCATGAGAGCAGCGGCAAGCCTGGCGCATTCCAGCCTAGATTACCTCGAAATATTTTGCCAATTCATTTAATCTTGGGAATGCGGAATTGTAAATTTACTTCTTGCGCAAATGTACTTTGCCAATCTAAATTTCATGCACAGCCAACATGCGTGTGTAAGCGCTGATTTGCTAGGCGGAGATAAGCATGGTTCTTCACATCAAATATGTGAAAAAATAAGCAATTTTGGAGAAAGCACTTACGAGGTCGTCCATATACACCATGCGAATGTGCTTCAGATGTACAAGGGCCAGTATGGGTGGTCAGATCCACACCAACTGTTGGTATAACGCCAGCTGGAACTGGACCATTTAATAGAGGTTGTTGTTGCGGTTGCTGTACCGCAGGGACAAACTGATTACTCGATAGCACTGCTGGCACCGGAAGTCTGAAACAATAAAAAGATGGGCTTTACAAACAACTTATTTATAAAACTGTTAATTACAATGTATTTGATTGTTGCGCCAAATTGGAAAAATAGCAAAAATATGGAAAAATTAAAGTTGGAGATCAATAACTCCTCCGTATCCATTCTCTACAAAATGGAATATATTAGTCGGAAGTAGCCCGAGTGACAGTAAGTGACAGTAGCTGGCAAATTTGCCGACAGCTACTTCTTCGTCTCCACCATGAACGTTGCTTAGAAGCAAGCCGATAGCGAAAAGCACAATGGACCTATTCAACTTGCTTTTAAGCAACTCTCAAAATAGAAAAGAAATTATTCTTGCAAAACAATAGTGAATTATCACGATATTAACTAAGAACACGATTTTGGACTCATAATTCAGCTCGATTATCTTTATTATATCACAGCTACTATTCCAGTGATTTTTTGGCGTATCGCTGAAGCCTGAGTCAGCAATGATATCTGCCTGCAGCAGTAGTCGTCTGTTTTTTGCGACTTTTTCACTGTAACATTAAATTTTACGGACAAATTACGAAACTGAATTGACTGCTTGGATGTCCAAACGCCGAATGATACCTCAAAAATTTGCTTTTCACTGTCATATTACTCCTTGTCAGCGATGAACTTCGCCAATCCACTTGACCTCGAGTTGGTCATAATTATAGCACAAAATGCATTTTTTAAAGGGAAAATGCGAACAATAAATAAATAAATAAATGAAGTACCCATGCGCAAAAGTCGCTGCTGAAACTGTTTGCACGCTCGGAACGGCCTGCGCTGTTAACTGCGCATATGATGTGGTTGTTGTGGTGGCACAAGGATTAGCTGTGGAAGAGGCTGTTGGAACAGGCTGCTTCGCACCACTGGTCGACGAAACTTTGTTGAGTATGTTGGCCAGATCAGAGGTCGAACCAACAAGGCCCTTCTTTTTCAGCTCATTCATCAGCTTCTGCAATAGTTTGGCGAAAATTTTGGGAAATTTTCAATAAAATGCCCAAAAGAAACTTTCAACAAAACGTCCAGAAGAATATCAATTTTGGGAAATTATTTCACACTGCTTTTTTATAAAGGCACAAAAAATTGCATATATTAATTTATGCCACATTTTATGGCATTAAAAAATCAGAGACATGTAAATTTATCTTAATTTTGGCATTTCTACCCAAAATCCGACATTTTCATGTATTCCCGCCCACTCGTTTCAACAAAGATTTTTTGGCGTATTGGTTTCAACTTATAATTTGTGTTTCACTGCATCCAGACTATGGCAACAATCTGCTAACATCACTAATATGGAATCCCTACACTGACTGCTTTGTTATTCTTGCTATTTTAATTGTTTGGATGATTTTAATCTGTTTTTTCTTTTTGTTTTTTGCTAAACCTGGCATAAATTCAACGTTTTTATGATCATTAGCGTCTCGCATTCCCATAATTGGCCAACGCACGGGTTGCCCATGCGAAGATGCGTTTTTTGCATAGTTCCCCGCAGTTTTTGTCGCTATCGGCATCGGTTTCTTCGACAGATGCTTCTAGCTAAACAAGTTATGACTCGCCGCCAGAACTACCAGGAAACAGCTCTCTAAAATTTCAGCTTTCTAACTTTTCAGTTTCCCGAGTTAGCAACTTACCCAACAAGACCTTGGCGGGCCCATACGTGGGTATCACGTACAAACACAGACACACACATACAGCCTAATCTCCCGTCAATATGCGTTTCCTGCATTGCATAGCTGCAAAAAACGCATAAAAACGAATTCTGCATCACCGAGCCGCTTTTTTTTTGCATTTTTTTGCCCGCAAACAGTTGACAGTGAGTTTAATGAGGCAAAAAAAACGCGACCACCACCTCATTTATTCATCTTCCCCCCCCCCCCCCC